TTTGACATTGTGGGTTTACCTATAATGCGAAGAGATGGCGCTGCCTTGCAGCTTAAGAATAGCTAGAAAGAATTTCGACGCGGTCCGTGAGGGCCGCGGTAGCATAATTGGTCAGTGCATTCGCCCGGGTTGCGAAGGGTGCGGGTTCGAGTCCCGTCTGCTGCCTGGTCCGCGTGGAATTTTACCTAGTTATATTTTCTTTAGAAGTGTTAAATTGTTCAATTTGCTATTTATAATATGTATTGTGTTGTGTGAGATTGCAGAAGTGTTTGGGAACCAAATTCCAGCACTAAATTTCACAGGTAAGTCTATTACATTACGCCAATACCGAAATAAATATATTCCTATATTTTTATGTTGTAATCATAATAAAACGTTAGTATTTATAAATCATAGTGTCCTGAGGCTATAAATTAACGTTATTCTTGTTTTATTCACTACATTTGGTACCATATTCAGCAGTTTATTAAATTAAAATAATATAAATTTTGGTTTTGTAGGGTAACCATTATCACTACACTTGAGATATTTTGAGAAAGTTAAAATACATAAGTATTATTGTAAATAGTAATTATAAAGTTCAAAATATGAAAATAAGTTTATAATAAATACTGTAGTAGATCATGTTGATTAGATGTAGAAAACCTATTTAATAACAGCTATCTAGCAGCGGTCTTATACCTTTGTTTATGTTTCAGCTTCCCGAAAGATATCATTAAAAGAAATTCTTGGTTGTCCATTATACTGTCACAAACGCTCTCGAAACGGAACCGCGAATGTGCTAGAGATCGAATTAGCCAGAGCACCGCGGGTCGCAATAGAAGTCGAGTAAGGCGGCTTATTCTAAAATGAGCCTTATGCAGTGCGACGTAAAGGAGAAAGTGCAACGATATCTGCACTTCTTTACAAGTTATGCGTGTTACTTGCTTAGGTATAAGTAGGTATTTCGTACTCGCGGGTGCTAGGTAATTCTCAATTTAACAGGTACTTTCTAGAACTTCGACTTTCGACGACCTCCGTGGTCGAGTGGTTTGTACGCCGGGTTTCATGGTGTCGCCGACTCGAGAGGTCCCGGGTTCAAATCCCGGTGGGGACAGATGTTTGTGTGATGAATACGAGCATTTGTACTCCAATCATGGATGTTTAATATGTATTTCTATAAAAAAAAAATATACTTATATATATAAGTACAGTGTATGTATTCTATCCGTTACCCTAGTATCCCATAACACAAGCCTTATAGTACTTACTTTGGGGCTAGGCTAATTGGTGTGAGTGTTGGAAATATTTATTTATTTATTTACTTTCTAGAATGCATCGATCGGCGTATATAAGGGCGATTGGCGCCGCGCAGAGACAGTTGAGTTTCAACAGCGATTTCGGAGCGAATCCAAAGGCGATCAAAGTGCAACAAAAGTGTTCAAGTGAGATTGTTTAGAGACTTGTATAGTGAAATACAGTGTTTAGTGAGTGTTTTGTAATTAACATTGTGTGTTAATTGTGTGAACTGTGTGGTGAATAAAGAACTGTCAATCGTGAACTGGCATATAATTTCGAACCCCATCCCGACACGTAACAATACCATTAAAAGGTCAATTTTATTTATCAACCAAAATATGTAGCTTAGAGATTCTAGTCCGTTCTTAGTAAAAGGCATTTCTGGCGATTTTAAAAAGGGTTTGCATATTCTTTCTCGTTAATTTTTTTATAAATGTTTTTGACATGGCATAATATAAGACGCATCTAATATGAATAAAACGATTTTTGTACTTGTGAATTTTATTACTATTAAATAATGTGTTCCCAAGTTCCTATCAACTCCAACGCTTTGATTTATAAATTGTTTAAAGACGATACCAGTAAGTATGTATCCTAAACGTATATTCCAACATGGTCACCCTTAGAAAGAGATAACAAACATATGTGACGTCATTCAAGGCCATATTTTTTCACTTCAAGGTATTGTTTGCACTGCAATCTCCAGTGTTGTATATAAGCTTCTTGACCAGTGCCAATGATTGGGTGGTTTCCCCTATGTTTTAGCATTTGACATTCTGAATCATAAACAATTAGTGTATGCGATTGTCATATAAGGGTATTATAACACAAGAGTCTGTTTATCAAAATTTTAATATGTTGATGTCCATAATAGGTTGACTCGAGGGGCTTAATATATAAAATATATGCAACTGCATATATTTTACACTACGTTATAGTACTTGTACTTATTAACTTAAAATAACTAAAGACCCACGGGATGAAATTTCATGCGCTTTGGCACAGATGATCATGACAATAATACCTTTCAAATAAATGTAGTTTAAGCCGTGGCGGACGTGGGTGCAGCGTCCATACATTTTTTCCCAATGTCCTTTGTGCTTGGCTAGTTGCATACACAACTTTATCTCCACTCATAGAAACAATAAATTAAACAAAGTAGCTAGGTAACCCAGCTAGCATGGTAACAAAGAAATATTTTGCTAAACTTTTCCCCGATATCCTGAAAACAAAACATGATCGATCAAAATCACTCCAGCCGCTCACAAACTTTCGCTTTTATAATATTAGTGTGATTTCCATAAACGGAGGTTTTTTTTTATTTTTATTTTTTATTGATTTAGGTAACAAACGATGTCTAACAGTAATATTTGCTTAAATTAAATAATGTATGACTAGACCTATAGTACCATAACTTAAATTAATATTATGTTTAATCAAATTGAATCTATGAGAAAATTCTTAGTTACTGATTACAAAATGTTTCAAAATCTTTACAATCTACTAGTACAATATCTCGCGAACCAGTTTTCTGTAATTTTTATAAGTACTTGAAAAAATGTCAATATTGGTCAGGTTTTTGTAAATAAAAATCAAGTGATCGCCTCAAATAAGAGTTTTTTGTGTAGTTTGTGCGATATGGCGGGACATAAAATGTACTCTTAGACCGTGAGGAGGGACGAGGACCCTAGGAGGATATTCTCAATTCGTCGTAATCTTTTTTTTTGATAGACAACATCAATAACACTGATCATTACTTGGTGTTTGTTTATTGATGTAAACCGATACGCACTGTTGCTTGAGCAATACAAATTGGATCTTCTGAGTAGGAATATTGAAAGAGAACTCTGTAAATATGTATGAAGCCTGAATGAATATGAAAGAAGCCCTGTCCTATTTTACGATACCAAATAAGTTGTGTAGAAAAATCTCTCTGCGGTAACAAACACTGATTTTGTTTGACCCGTGAGAAGGCGCGCTATGAGCTCACGAGAAAATTAGTTGCGGTGAACTTGGATTTTAGCGGCGCTCTGGCTCTGCAAACTTCTCAGTATATTCCTAACTTTTTTCACTTCCCCACCGTGACGTGACTCACGTGCTGCTCGGAGCTGATGCAACCGCATAGTTAAGTGTTTGTGCGTCCTAAATCCTAAAATGCGGCATTTTGCTCATCGCGCGACTAACCGTGTAAGTATTTTTTTAAATATATAAAAATCTAAATTTTAAATTTTAATAATCGATGTTTAAATTTAAAGAAAAAAATACTAGAAAAAAATTCACGAGGACTAGGCAGCAGACGGGATAGCAAAGGGTGCGGGTTCGAGACCCGTCTGCTGCCTGGTCCGCGTAAATAAAAATTTTTTCATTGTATATTCTTGTTTTTTGTGTAATAAATATCAACTGACTTAGCGAAAATATTGTTTTGAGTTCTTCATTTTCATTTTCAGCCTACAAAGTATAAAAATCCATTTTATTTTATTCAACGACAAGTATATCAAAGGACAATGGGCAAAACACACCCAGCTCCGCCAACAATGTAATTAGTATGAATCGATAGATCTATGAAAAACTAGCCTTTGTTATTGACACCTTAAAAAAATATCCTGGTAGTCAAAAGATATGACACATAGGCATAGATAAGTAACTAAATTAATTCATTTTATATTATTAGTAACCATAATAATATGCCATATTGTACAATACAACCAGATAACGACAAAGCCTGCCGACTATCCTTCGCTTGCACTTACTGAGACACCTCAAAACGGTTTACGGGGGTTGAAGGATTTGCAGTTGCACGTAGTCGACTCGTCTTACTTCGTTGTGATTGTGCGCTCCCTGACACTTGATTGATTTTTATCTAACACGCTTTGGACATTGGAACACGATTATCGGTTTTGTCAATTAGTATGGATGAACTGGAATCATATTTTCTCCGAAGCGAGTACAGGTTTGTGTGATTTGTGGTCGCTCCGTTTTACATAGAAGACAATTTACTTTAACGAACAGAATGTTTAAAAAACCCCCAACCCATGCGGGGATTTTTGGATTTACTCTAGCGCGGCAGAATAACGTAAGGGGGCATCCTTGCACCATGTGAAGTACTCCCATAATACCTGAGCCCTCTATGTAGGGTCAAACTAATTAAATTAATTTCCTCCCTTGTTTTATTAATGTTCGTTCGTTATAGTACTTGCACCTATTTAACTTAAAATAACTAAAGACCCCCGGGATGAAATTTGATGCGCTTTGGTATAGATGATCATGACTATATTACCTTTCAGATAAATGTAGTTTAAGCCGTGGCGGACGTGGGTGCAGCGTCCATACATTTTTGTCCAATGTCCTTTGTGCTTGGCTAGAAGAGCCCGATTCTAAAGAAGGAGAGTCAAGATGCTGAAAATATGGTCTAAAATCGAGTAGATGACGTAGAAAGCGACAATTAATACCCTCATGAAACTGATACTCAAAATTTTTGTAGTAGTACACATAACTAGCGTACCGTATATCAAACACCATTTTCCCGCTTTTCCGTAACAAATAGATTTTTTTAAATATTTCGTGATTTAATTATGCTTTCATTAGTAATAAAAAATCATCAGATAAAATAAGTGAGTTATTAATAGGAGGAGTTAGCAAAAAATCTGCCTTTAAGAGTTGAAAGTTGTAGTTCACTTGAGATAAGTCATGGACAGACATACTAGAATAAAACGAAGTATTTTTTGGCAAAACAATGATTTTATTTAAAATTCAAGCTCGTCGAGTAACATACAAAAAATGTGATGCAGTGTAAATAATTCGAGTGCATAACAATATACTTATTTACATATAAAAAAAGATTTACAATTTAATTGTAATAATGTAAGCATTTTCAAGATGATTTTTCGTTCATCGCAACAGGTTCAGGTCATCTGAAAAAATAATAAAAAAAAAAAATTTATGGAATCACACTGTTAGCACATAAACTCTATCCATCCATCTATAGTTTTTCTGTCTTTATCTTAACCTAACCCAGTGGAGCTTAAGTTACCTTAACGAGTATTAGAATGAAATAGGTATGAGGAGCTCGACGGCGCAAGTGGATAGCGCGTTCGGCTGCGATCGTTGAAGTTAAGCAACTTTCGCAGTAGTCGGTCATTGGATGGGTGACCAAAAGTTTACTATCACGAGCTCCTCCGTGCTTCGAAAGGCACGTTAAGCCGTTGGTCCTGGCTGCATTTGCAGTCGTTAGCACACACTAAAATCCGCACTGGGCCCGCGTGGTGAGTCGTGGCCCAATCTCCCTATTTCATCCATAGCGAAGGCCTGTGTCCCAGCAGTGGGGACATTAAGAGGCTGATGGTTAGTGCCTAGTTTTTTCTCAGCTACATCATCATTATCACCTGTGCTGGGACATAGGCCTATTGGCTTACTATTTGGCTTTCCCCTGTCGATATATCCCTATATATCGACAGTGGAAAGCCAAAATCGCTTATACGCCACTTTGGTCGAAAATAAGTTATATATAAAACAAGTTTCAACAAAATAAATGCACTGATTTAATTGTGTATGACGTTTCGCATCCTTTTCATAGTTTTCATAAAAAAAAAAGTCTTTCGAACGTAGCTCGGCAAAGTAAATAAAATCATAATTTTGACGACGCATCTTGAAAAGGACGCAAAACGTCATAAAAAAAAATCAGTGCATCTATACCGTTGAAACTTGGTTAATGTAAGTAGTGATGTTTGTGAAAATCTAAGAAACTAAAATGAGTTATATATATATCATTTAAATCAGTTTTTTTTTCTGCGTTGATCTCTTTGGGTATATTCCGAAATATACATCAGTATACTGGCCAGTGATAATGACGTCAAGAATCCGACGCCATTTTGTACTGGTATGCTACCAAATTCTTACCGGGAAAACGAATATGACATATGACCGAGCGTGCGTGAGTGCATTCGAATTTTATTTCTTTTTTATTTAAAGAACAATAATGGCACCCGAACGAAAAGAATTCCTTTTGATTGAAGAGGTGAATAAAAAATCTTCTTTATTCGCACTATTTTTAATATTTCGTCGATTTATGACGTCAATGCACTGGCAAATATATTTCGGAACAATTCACCAGTATAGCGTCGATTCATGTTCTTTATTTTATAAAGAATATTTATTCATTCATTATGTTTCGTGAAGATTTGATTTATTTTTTGGCGCTTAAGCAACTCAATTGTTTGAAGGTGTTTATTGTTCACAAGCTGAAGCGACATACATTTGGGTGATTTTTGAACGAATGGCACTACGCCGTACTATTTGGCGTATAATTTGAGGTTAGCTTGCTAAAATTTGTATGGCAGGCCATGTGATTTTACCATCTAATTCTAAAGGCACTTTGTACACTTTGTAATAGGAGGATATTTATAAAATATTCATTAATGAATACGTTTTTATTTTTATGGCGCTACTTTCAGTTATAATTTCTTTTGTAAAAAAACTCCTTTTTGTAATTTTACTAAAGTGGCGTTTAAGCAGTTTTGATTTTCCACTGTCGATATGGAGTGAGGAGAATCCTCCATGATGCACCACGCTAGGATAGTGTACATTGGCGGGTGCTCACGACTGTAGATGCAGCCAGAACGAACAGCTCAACATGGTTTCCAAAGCACGGATAAACAATAGGTAATACATGTTTGGTCATCCATCCAATGACCGGCTGAGAATAATATCATCACAGTGTCAAAATATTACAAACTAGCGGCCCGCCCTCGCTTCGCTTCGGTGTAGAGCTGAAGTGTAGACTACAGTTTTTGTTCTCAGGCTTGTATTATACACAATGACATTCATCTATGATTCTTCTTATACCTGCATGCAAAGTCACAGCCCGATCGGTTTAAAATTGACAAAGTTTCATACAAACTTTCATTCGAATTGATCGAAATCCTTTCTTAGCGGATGCCTACGTCATAACATCTACCTGCATGCCAAATTTCAGCCCGATCCGTCCAGTGGTTTGGGCTGTGCGTTGATAGATCACTATGTCAGTCAGTCAGTCACCTTTGAGTTATATACATATAGAAGTAACTATCTGGTAATGCGAAATTCAATATTTAGCTAAAATCTCCAGTAAAATCAAACACATTTGGCATGACAGGCACAGTAATACGCAGCAGTAGGTTTTACCACAAAATATGAATTGAATTCACGTCATCTCAACAATTTCGTCAAAATTGCTACTTATACCTATTACGAGCCACACGCAAATTATCTTAATATTTTTTAATGTTTCGCTTATACAAAACAAGAAAACCAATTTAAGCAACTTTGTACATGGAAATAACTTTTAAATTGTGCGAAGAAAAAGCGCCGTTACAAAAGGAATTTCGAATTATCTGTCTTGGAATTTTCGCCATATCGGCGCTTTTGTTGTGGTATTGTTATAATGGCTTCATGACAATCTGTGTAAAACTAAACTTGGTTTCTGGGTTTTAAAATTTTCCACACCTAACCCAATGTTAAGTGTATTGTTATTTTACAAATAGAAATTATCTATTAGAACTCACCATAAAGAACTTAATTATAGATCTAGAAGTAAACAGTCTAATTGGCCTGCATCCCAAAACATCTCTTATCACCAAAACTGATATATCATAGATGATATTTATTTTGAAGAGGTGCATACTAGTGTAAACCTGAATGGATTATTCGATTGTTACTAAGTACTATAGTCAAAGTACTTTCAAGTATGTTATTTCAAACATAAAGTAATCATTCATCTAATTATTCAATCAATCAATCAAAATCATATATTCAGTTTAGACTGTTACAAGCACTAATGAATGTCTAGAAGCTACGCCATCGGTTCGTAAATCTACGGCGGGGGACCTTGTCCTGAGAAGAACCGGCAAGAAACTCAGCAAGGGCTGTTATTCTCCCTGTTTTATTATTTAAATAGTCGTCAAGTTAAAAAAATATTTCGAGAGAATCGAGAGATGTTGCATGGTGTCACATTTCATTATTTTCTTATTAAAGATTACTTTAGTTCTCAAACACTATAATTGTCTATATATGGGTCAAATAAAGGATTTACTATTATTATAACTGTTCTCTTCTGTATGGCAGTAGTTGTGGTGTGTGGCAGTGGTGACTTCTTTGGACGGGCGCTTGTATTTGAGCTCCATATCTGCTTTGCCCAACTTCTTTTAACTGCCAACGACAGTAATTGCCACCATAACATAGCTTAAATATTTCACTTTATTTTTTATACAGGTCCGACTCCACCTTACCTGATGTTAAGAAAAGGTGAAATTTAGACGCTAAGGTAGCTGGGCCACACCAGCTATCCTCACCATGCCAGCCTACAAAATTTTTAACGCCTCCTTTAAAAGTCCCTAGCTTGTAGAGTCAGAGAACGATTCTTATTTAAACAGGGAAGGTCTCACCTCAAAACACTTGTACCATATGGTTCTCTCTTTCGCAGACTATGATATTCCCGCCGGTCATGACAGTGATGCCCACTAAGCCTTTAAAGTTGCCGTCACTGGAGCCCTGAGGATCGTGCCGTCAGGGTGGAAGATCTGGATGTTCTTGCTAAGAAATGGTACCAGATTGCTTTTACCTTTTACTGAAGGTTGATTATTGTAACTGGCCAAAACATTTGACCTCTATGGTTCGCTGTTCACTCTGTCGTAGACTATAATGTTCCCACCGGACATGACGGCGATGCTTTCAACTCGCCATCACTTGAGCCTCAGGAGCCAAAAGTTCCGTTAGGGTTGAAGATCTGGATGTTGCTACTAAGAAGCGGAACCAAAATGTTTCAACATAGAAGGCCTCACCTCAAAACACTTGAACCCTGTGGTTCTCTCGGTCGCAGACTATGATGTTCCCGCCGGACATGACGGCGATGCCCTCCAAGCCTTTGAATTCGCCGTCACCGGAGCCCCAGGACCCAAAGGCTCTGAGGAACGTGCCGTCAGGGTGGAAGATCTGGATGCGGTTGTTGCCCGAGTCAGCGACCACGATGTAACCTTGATCGTCTACCGCTACACCCCTGTAGATGGAAAGAAGTTATGGTTTGTTAGATGCAGCAATTTGTGTTGCAGGACTGTCTAGTCAAACTATGGATATTGACTAATTGACCTTGTTATAATCATAATTAAAATTATTTATTCAGTTTAGGCTGCGTTTACACACATAGTTACAAGCACTCATGAATGTCTAGAAGGTACGCCATCGTAAATCTATGACGGGAGACCTTTTACTGAGAAGAACCGGCAAGAAACTCAGCAAGGGCTGTTTCTTTTCTCCCTGTTTTATTATTTACAGAGTCGTCAAGTTAAAAAAATTACTTCAGAGATGATTCATAAAGTCACCCTTGAATACATATCGATTATATTAATTTCAATATTTTTGGCAGTTCATTTTAATGATATAACTGTTAGACCTATCGATTTGGTGACTATTTTCAAAGCTATCGTTGTTAACAACAGCACTATTAACGTTTATTTTCTATTTCTCAGTGTTGTATTTGTATTGAATAAAGTGTGGAGCTCTACAAAGCTCTATAGAGCACTAAGAAGCTAGAAAATGGCCAGGTAATGGGGATCAGGAGGATATACAACGCGTAAGTTTAGATTGACCGAGGTATCGCCAACGTCTATATGCTACAGTGCCCGCTGACCACCAGAGAACTAAGTTGCTTGTTCACCTTTACCGCCAATTTGAGTTACAGAATTGACTATTTATTTTATTTATTTATTTATTTATTTATTTATTTATTTATTTATTTATTTATTTATTTATTTGATCACCAACAAAGTTACACTTAGACATTTCTTATTTACGCATTTATAGTACGACACTTTATTAGTGGAAGTTTAATTATAGGAGATTACGACATGGAATTTACACTTAACTAGCAATTAAATCTACACATTAATATAATACAAAACAATTATGATTAAAAATAAAATTTTAAATTGTCAATAATTGAACAACAACAATTAAGTAAATTAATGAAAATAAATTAATGAAAAATAAATTAATGACAAATAAATTAATGAAAAAACTATGTGGGCACAACTAAACATAAAGATTTTATTCTCTTCGGTGTATCCGCAAATCCGACAAGGAAGCTTAAGGTTCTTATAGTAATAATAATGGTTTGCGAACTTTGATCATGTCATTTATCTAGAAGAACATTGGTTACCTTACTCACTACAGCTCGTCATCACACTAATATTATAAAGGCGAAAATTTGTGAGTATGTGAGTGTGTATGTTTGCTACTTTTTCACGTCTTAACGGCTGGAGCGATGTTAATAAAATTTGGTATGGAGTTAGCTGATACCCTGGATTAAGGCCGTATACAGAAAGAAAGCTGAAAGTCGACCAGCGCTTGTCGGTCCTTACTGGTTACAGTAACATAAAGGAAGCAGATTAAAGCAGAGCAAGCAAAATGTCGGACTCATCGGACGATGATATGGTTTTATTAGATAGACTTGTTGTCACCATTCTATAAGTATGAAACAAATAGTTTTAGCGCTTATTTAATAAAAGATAAAGTTATTAGATTTATAAAAAAAATATTATTTATTAATTTAAAATGGTAGTGCCAGCGCTGACCACCGCGTATCGGCACTTGTCGGTGCTTATCAACGCTTATCGGCGCTTATCGGCGATGGTCCATATAAATGCTTGCGCCGGTTACCGGTAAGGACCAGCACCGATAAGCGCTGACAAGCGCTGGTCGGTTTTCAGCTTTCTTTCTGTATACGGCCTGTATACAGTTCTGTATACATAGGCTACGTTATACCGCGGGAAAATATCCCTAATAAACCGCGGGTAACACCGCGGGGCACACATAGTAATACCTATATTATCTGACTGCAGTTATGTTACTTATGCAATTTACTACAATCGCACGAGATATGACGGAATCTTATATATAAAATTCTCGTGTCACAATGTTAGTTACCATACTCCTCCGAAGCGGCCTGACCGACTTTTATGAAATTTTATATGCATATTCCGTGGGTCTGAGAATCGGCTACTATCTATTTTTCATATCCTTAAGTGATAATGGTTGTCCACCTGTAACGTAGTGTTCTGAAACCTACAATGCGCCTTCGCGCCAAAATTCAAACTATTGGTTATTGTAACGTAGTGTTCGTATATGGGTTAGGAGGGATGTTATCTCAGGAAATTGATAGAACACTACGTTACACACCCCTTTTTTTGGACAATATTTATTTTTTATAATGTGGTATTAAAAATACATTCAACCCTAAATTTTCCCTATCTACTACTATTTTTATGGCGGAACGAAGTTCGCTGGGTCAGCTAGTAAGTATTGTATATTGTCATACAACTCCAAGTAAATTAACCCTAAATTAAGCTTTCTTGATTGATTTGTTATTGTAGTCTAATAATGTTTTACAATAGAGAGTAACTTTCGTTTTGAATTTCATGGGCGTGTGTTACAGGCGATAGGTATACAGATCACGTAAATAGGCCACATTCAGGGTTATTACCTAGTTGTTACAGAATTTGAATATAGATTAATTTCAAAGATAAAGCATGTTGTTACAACCCATTATGTTAAAAAGAGTGCATCAAATAGTTCTCGCTTTGTTTACGAGATAAATCATTGTTCCATTGGTATTGTAGAAGTTTTTTTGCTTTATCGTATGAATATAAAATTCATAATAATAAAAAAAGGTATACTGAAAAAAAGGAAATTAGAAAAAAAGGGTGCGGTTTTATGAAATCGTGAAGAAAGTGAAACTTTTAAAACTATTAATAAAAAAAAGTTATTTCTCAGCTGGGAATCAAACCCGGGCCGGCCGCGTGGCAAGCGAGCTTTATTCTCTGAACTACCGATGTTTGTTGGTAAGTCTGTATTTTTCTTTTTTTTTATTCAGGACAAAAAACAGTGGTACATTTCTCATTAGCCAAATAGTATTGTAATACAGGTGACACCTTAAATTATTGTACGACCAACTTCATTATCCACTAATGCATAATTTGAGATTTAAGTGGTTTAATACAAATTAGGATCCTTATATACATAACTGTTTATTATTTAGATGCTTTTGTAATTTTTATCTTTTACTGTACTGTATATTGCGATACCCTGACAGGGTTCATGTTAGGTACTATAAGCATTTTGTAACCATCGATGTAACCACATGAGTGCAATAAATTGAATTGAATTGAATTAATTAGAATCTACAAAATACATATTTTTGCGCTTCTATAAGATTTTCTATTAATACAGTAGGTACCAAGAAATTAACAGAATATAAAGTTAGTAACTGAAAATAATAAATATTTTTGAAAGACAATTTAAAATGTAATGCTACATGCTAAAGATGAACCAAAAAACTTGTGTGATGTTGCAATTAAAAAAAAAACATTTTAAAGTTTCATCGTAACCAATAACTACTCCACAGTTCTAAAGCAGTAAATTTAAATAGAATTAATAGCTCGTTACTCAACACATTTGTTTGTTATAAATTCAGAAATAGAAATCGTTTCCTCATCCTTAAACAAGTGATGTGATCGTCTAACAAAAAAAACGAGTATGCTTATACTTCTGATACACGACTGAAGTGAAACTTCCTTAGCTTCATCTGTATATATATGTATATATACACCGTGTTCCTGAGGTTATACACTAACTTTGGCATGTTATTCAAACTATTAAATTGATCATTTTTTACTATGGACACTTTTATGAATACCAATTTTTTATCATTTTTTATTTTCATACAAACTAAATGCTTAGATGTAATTTATCTAATATGAATTACTCTTTACCTGAGCTGGCAACGTCGCATTTGATACCTTGGTTCACATGTCCACATAAACTTTTTGAAACTTTTCTTGACGTCAACAATGTTTTTTAAAATTTTGACTTTTGAAACTATGACTTAATGACCATTGACAAAGAGTTGATAGTTTGATATTTTTGATTGCACAAAGTGGCAACATCTCACAGATAAAGACTCATTCTCACTGAACAACACAATTAAGTTGGTTAAACTTAAATTACCAATAACTTAAAAACTATGCTATTTAAACTACTACTTTCTTTGTACGATATGTTCAACAAGAGCTATAGAAGTATTATTCAAAGTTTATGTATATCCTCAGGAACACGGTGTATATATGTATACAATATATACATGTACGTATATATACATATTTCATTTACTAGCTATAAGAGAAAGAAAGAAATAAAATGTGGGTGCGCTTTCTCTCACTTATATCCCCTACTCAACTCCTGTTCGCCTCGCCCGAACACACTTTTCGTAACGCATTCGCCAGATCACTCCCCAAGTCAAGCGTACGTAAAGAAGATTCACTTCAAAAACACCATCTTCAAATCGACAACCCTAATAATGTTCATTTTGGTCTCTTTGCTATGAAGAATACGGTCAAGGTGTAAAAACTGGAACATTAAAAATATATCGGTGCCTATATTAATAACAGCCAGAGAGAGAACAAGCCAAATTGGTAGCGTAGTAATATATTGTTACTAGCTGCCCGCCCTCGCTTCGCTTCGGTGTAGAGCTGAAGTGTAGACTACAGTTTTTGTTCTCAGGCTTGTATTATACACAATGACATTCATCTATGATTCTTCTTATATCTGCATGCAGTCTCAGCCCGATCGGCTTAAAATTGACAAAGTTTGCTACAAACTTTCATTCCCTATTTTATCCCCTTGGGGGTAGAATTGATCAAAGTCCTTTCTTAGCGGATGCCTACGTCATAACATCTACCTGCATGCCAAATTTCAGCCGGATCCGTCTAGTGGTTTGGACTGTGCGTTGATAGATCATTATGTCAGTCAGTCACCTTTGAGTTTTATATATATAGATTATCCCAACTGCTTTCATAATTTAAGTGCTGTCAGATAAAGATCGTAGAGATACATGATGTAATGGAAACGTATTCCATAATATTACCATTAACAAGAGATACTGAATGACAAAAAGCCACAGCTTGAGATTTTAATCTAATAAAATGATAATGCAAAATTATAGAAAACACACACATACCGTAATCAACTATTTATCTAAAATTCTTTTCTCAACTATATTGTGTACGAGAAATGTTAATTACGAATTCGTATTTTAACATCATCATTATCAAGGTTTAATGCCCCAACTACTGGGGCTCAGGATCGATGGAGACTGGGTCGTGACCCACCACGCGGGCCTAGGGCGGATTGGTGGCGGCTAACGACTGCAGATGCAGTCGGGACCAATTACGGAGGAGCTTAAGATAGAAAGTTTTTGGTCACCCATCTAATGACCGACCATTGCGAAAGTTGTTTAACTTTCACGATCGCAAGCCGAACGTACTAAACACTTGCGCCATTGAGCTCCTCAACGTGCTTAAATATGCGGTTAAATATAAATATTTCGAACACTCCACACCAATTAGCCTAGCCCCAAAGTAAGGACGTAAGGCTTTTGTTATGAGATACTAGGGTAACGGATAGAATACATATACTGTACATATATAAATATATTTATAAAGAAATACATATCAAACATCCATGACTGGAGTACAAATGCTCGTATTCATCACATAAGCGTCTGCCCCCACCGGGATTCGAACCCGGGACCTCTCAAGTCGGCGACACCATGAAACCCGGCGTACAAACCACCCGGCCAAGGAGATCGTCAAAAAATAATCACGATTTTTTTTTATTTACCGTAACAACCTCAATTTTTTGTGTCGATCTGAGTTTACGGATGATTCTCAATTTAACATTGTTCGTCGATTCTTCAATGCCAACTTTTTGGTGCACAATGGAATATTAATCAAGAATGCTTCACAAAGTTAATTCACCGTAAACAACGGTTTAAGATTTTGATTGGAAGTGCTCGTAAACAGAAATTAGGAGCCGACTGGCCACATTTTACGAGGTATCGGCTACATAGCAAGCGCTGTCGGTAATGGGTTTTCAAAATTGCAAACTCCTAACTTGAAATCCTATTAAATTGGGTAGAAGGAATTTCGATAACAATGATTTCTATAATATTTTGGCGTAGATTTTTTTATTACATAACTTTTGAAGATTTCTAAGCAACCATAATCGATAAAATTGTGTGAGCTGCAGGCTACCTATTAGGTTAGCTACCTATATTTTTAGGTTTGGTTGGTACTATGTAATCAATATAATATTTCAGATGGTCTCAAGGAAAGAAAGTGGATCGTACACACCCTGCGTTACTAAGCACCCTATGTAGTTTTATTAAAAATATTTTGAGAGATTTCGTTGTTTTACCGATGATGCTTTTAAAATAATTAGTGTGAGAGCTAGCCAATGCAGTAAAAAAATACTGTGGCATTTTAAGCACTGCAATACCTAATAAAAATTATGCTCGCCGAGCGAAAGATCTGTGAAATAAAATGGTTAAATTGAAAACAGTTCAGCGCTCCTATCTGGCGTGATTCCCGGCTCCACAAAGAAAGGTTTTGTTCCAAATTCCAATATCCACATACCTCGGGAACTTGAACTGCCCATCTTCAGAGCCTTCCTCCCCAAACGAGGACAGCACCCTCCCGTTGACGTCGAACACCTGGATCCTGTGGTTGTTCGAGTCGGAGACGAGCACGCGGTTGGTGCTGGAAACTGCGATGTAGTGCGGGTGCTCCAGCTGGCCGAGCTTGGATCCGAATGAACCAAACTTGCCCACGAACGTGCCGTCTGATTGGAACACCTGTGTGGAAAAGTTGGATCATAATCACATCAATCGTGTTGTCGAGCTAGTATTGACAAAAGAGGTTTTGTGAGATTGTGACAAAGGAACAGATGAAAACTGACACTTATAAATGGAAAGATTGAGCTAAAATAAGTAACAATGTAATAATAATAATGGAGGTAATTTAATAACTAAAATACATTATTAAAAGGAGTCCCTTTAGGAAAAGTTCCGAAGATACTGGCAGCGTTCCCCCTTTTAGCTAGACTTATTCCTTGTCCGAGGTAGTTGCCAGCTCTTTAGTCTCCTGTGATGTCGACCAACCTTTTTGCTATTTCCTTAAAAAGCCTTACAGTGCTAGGACCCCACGAACCAAAGGTCTCGACACCGAATGGGACAAAATCATATTAAAATTGAGCTAAAATTAATTTTGACTTCGCAAAATTTATAGGTATGTTCCTGAAGGAATTTCCGAAAAAGTAAATTCAGAACATATTTGTTAATGGTTTTTATTGGTCAATAACTACACACGGTCTACACGGTCAATAAATAAATAAATTCAGTGCATATAACCCGTTAAAACTGTTTTCTTTATTGGTTTCTATTTTTGTCAACTTTGTAGGTCATTCAGGGATTACCTCTATTCTAAAGTCATCGCGAACGAAATCGGGGGGAAATAATTTGTTTAATAATTTTGGTCTATCAGTCGTAATCATTGGACTATGTATGTCTATATCTGTAGAGATAAATCTAGGGAGTTTATTAACTGAGATTTACCTGAACTCTGTGGTTTTCCTTGTCACACACGTATATAAATCCGAGCGCGTCCGTGGTGATACCCCAGGGGTAGTTGAATTTGCCGTCTCCAGTACCTTGGCTGCCGAAGGCCCTGAGGAAGCGGCCTGCAGGGTCGAAGACCTGAATACAAAACAGTCGTATATAAAAACTGGAACAACCAACTATTTTAGAGGTTTCCTATAGTTTTCAAAGTGTTGCCATTCGAGTAGTATAAAATTACCCAGAAGTACTGTTTTTCCGGAGCTCATACTAAAACTGGTGTGAATAACTAACGTGTAATATTGCTTGGTATCGAAAACGTTTATAAGCTTCGGTGACTGATTACCATCAAGCAGTTCAAAATCGTTTTGCCACCCTTTTTCACACGAAATATTCTCCATTCAACTCCCAGACCCCACAGAAGGTAATGCGTTTATTATGCGGCTCAGAATCGGCGATAAGCACATCTAGTTTCGGGGCGGAAACCTCATCACAGTGAAATCTCTACACCTACAAAATGATTAGATAGCCAAGATGATCACTCTCTGTGTTTCAAAAGAAATATTGAACATACACGAATCCAAAAGTCACGAGTTAATAAAAGAAAATTAAACAATTCCAGCTCGTGGAACACTGCTGCACGTTTTCATAAAATCTTGTTGTGTGCTTATCCAAACATGAAATATGCCGCTGGGAGTCTGGCGTATCCCATTGTGTTTCGCAATTCCATATCTTGTTACCAGTGCACGACGTATTTTTCCTATTATACTCCTTGGCGGTCATATATAATTTTCGGTTTGACACTTTAGTGCCGATGTTTGGTGTTGCCACGCGTTGATTTATGTTGCAATAGGGTATTTCGTTATATACGATGCATATTTGAGATATATTTAGAATTCAATACTGTTACTATCGCGTGTTCTACGTTTATTTTTTTTTTATTAATGCAGACAAACGAGCTGGCGGTCCACCAGATGGTAAGTGGTCACTGCTGCCCTTGGACACTTGCAGCATCAAGGGTACCACTCATATGTTGCCGACTCTGAAGGAAAAGGTTTACCCGCTAATTCTACCATTTCAAACAGACTGATTATCTTTATATATATAATTCTTCTGTGAGTGTGTACGTCACTGAACTTCTCTTAAACGACTGGACCGATTTTGATGAAATTTTTTGTGTGTGTTCAAGGGGATCTGAGAATGGTTTAGATTCACAAAGACGTGTAGACAGGACAACGTCTGCCGGGTCCGCTAGTCTATACATATAATAAAATGGTAGGAAAGTCAAAACTTTACATTAAATTTTTTTTTTAAAGAATAAGTATTCTTACTACCCAAGCCCAAGTGGGCTGTGATCTACAATTGATACCGAAGCCAAAAATATAGTTTTTAGAATTTTTGTCTGTTTGTTTATATGTATGTCCGGGATAAACTCAAAAAGTACTGCATGGATTACTTCAAATTTGGCACGAATATCATTAAGAAGTCGGGTCAACATATAGGCTACATATTATCACGCTTTCACCTACGGGAAACGAGCAGTGAACTTTTATTTCTAACTCACTCCACTCGTACGAAGTCGCGGGTGGCCGCTAGTGTAAAATATAAGACTAAATGAGACAAATCTAAAATATTGGTAGAACTGTAATTTACGTCGTAATTTAATAGAAAACAAATTCGCAGCCATCACGAACCCAAAGAAAGGAAAGAAATATTTTGTGTTTGAAAATAAATTGCAATTTGCGTTAGACGTTAATTTTAATGAATAAGAGATTAACAAGATTTATTGACACAATCTCGGTTGTAATTTACAAATCAAATTACACTGTAGACGGACAAAGATTTTTTTTTTCGATTTCTCGACGTTAATTAATTTAATTATGAACGGAAATTATTATTGAATCGTTCTTTACACTTGCAAGGTTGAGTTATTTTTTGTTTTTAATAGACAATAATGAAGGCTCTTCACATTTAAATCGCTATTTATGTAAACTAACTGTAAACTTGCCATCAATCTTTTCGTTCCATTCCCTACAAAGCATGATAAGAGAAATTGTTTGCATTTATCGGTATGATATGTCTTACTCACACTTAACATTATCCTATTAGATTTTAATTTAGTTTTCCTTTTAATATTATTTTGGAACGCTTGTACCGTAATATTTAAGTGATTTTGTTACTTTTGCAGGCACATCATAGTTAAATGTGTAGGTATACATTAAATGCGAGGAGCGTTGGAGCCTGAGATACAGGCTTTTTCTTAAACCTACTTCGTGCACAGTCTCAAATATTTATATGCTCAAATGAAAGTAACTAAGTCTTCTGTAAAATATTTTGTTCAAATATTTACTGAAGTAATAGATACCTAAATTATATTATAATCTTTTTTATTGTTACCTGAATGCGATGGTTGTATCTGTCAGCAATAATGTATTGTCCAATTCGATTGACTGCAACACCAGCCAAGCAGTCGAATTCGCCTTCTCCGCTGCCGTATTGTCCGAACTCTTTTACGAATATACCGTTAGAGTCGAACACCTGAAATATATTAATGAGTATTAGGCTTGATTCATTAGGAAATCGCTTCATTGCATAAGTTTGAAGTTAGATTATGTGGTAAAAATATAATATATCTACCCCTTATTATTTTTGCAAAAATATGAAAAAGAAGAATATTAAAACTATTATCAGGATAGTTAAACGCACGACATGCTCGTTACAAGTTCCAAACTTTATGCAAATCAATGCTGAACCTATCGCAACCAAAATACGTTTATTTGAGATATAATATTTAGTAACAGTGTTTCGAAAAAATAACATCACATCTAATGCCAAAAGACTAATAGAATTCACAAATTCTTACTTGGACTCGGTGGTTTGATGAATCAGCCACGACCATTGTGTTGTCGGGGCCCACAGCGATGCCACGAGGCCAAGTAAAGCATCCGGGTTCGCTCCCCCGGCTCCCCACGCTGAATTGTAAACGGCGTTTCTGCAGATACTGGCTCCTAGGGGAGGAACCTGCTGCTGCGAAACCTATGATCAGAAACAAGAATTAGAAAGAGCTAATAGACTTTACCGACACCAATTGTTTTCAAGCACCAAACCTATTTACACGCCACTCTTTGCTCTAACCTGCTACCGCTGCTGTAGCCGCCGTAGGGGAGATGGGGGAGCCTGCCGCGTTTTTTGAATCGTCATCAGAACTGGCAAGCTCGTTGGCCGAACGTAAGGGCAACCCGAGAGACAGACGACGCGATGTACTCGAAGTAGTTCCGCTCGTGTCACGGTCTTTGCCCCGCGATCCGTATTTATTTTTCAAGTACCTTGCCCAAGAGCTCAGGGCTGCACCGTCTTTCTCACCGGCCGCAGGCCGCTCTGGTGAGCTTTCCCTCGACTTTAATGCGTGGGAAGACCGGCTGCGAGACAACTCCGTACCACCCGTGCCGGAGCCGTATCGAGCCGCAAGATATGCTGATGGCGAAGCAGTTGTTGGAGACACGGGATCATCTTGATCATCATCATCTCCTGCTCCAAACCCCGTGTGGCTACTTTTGCTTCTAGCGAGCCGATTACGCCGTTCTTTCAAGGCAAGATACCTCGATCTGGCGGTGGGGTACTTCGTATCATCGTCGAGCGAAGATTGAGTCTCTAATTCTTCTTTGGGCTTGCTACCGTAACGATTGTTGTATGAAGAGCCACTAGAACCGTAACGTGGAGTAGATTCTTCTTCAGTCTGTGATGACTGTCTCGAGCGGTATCGAGATTGTGAAGGTGTTTCTTTGGTTTTGCTATCTACAGCGTCGTTACGAGCGTTTGTGCTGCGTGCTAATAGTGGACCTATATCAGTTCGAGTCATCGCCTGACTCTCGGGCTTTCTTTGCGTAGCAGGCTCCTCTTCACTCTCTTCCGAAGAATCAGTTTCCTCTTCAGAACTTGTGTCGGAGTCTTCGTGAGCCGGCTCGGCGGGCGCCGGGGCAGGAGCTGGCCGTTGAGATCCCACGAAGCGACTTTGCACCCGTTGTGCGCCACCGGCTGTTCCATTAGTCGTCACTGGTGCTGTTCTGTCGTTGCCTGTGGAAAAGAAAGGAATGCCATGTTTTGGTGGAAGTCCGTGATTGCTATATTTGGCTTTAAGTTCTTCGATAGTTAGTATCGCACCTGTGTGCTTAACCGCCGAGCCGGAGCTTTCTGTTGATGCGCTTGATTCTGTACTAGGGGCACGTGCAGCTGGACGGTGTGGTGTCGCTGCTTCAGACCCTGAGGGTCGTCTTGCAGTTGAAACGGGCTTTGGTGCTGGTGCTGTATTCTTACGCTGTGTCCGTTGCAAAGATCCAACAGATTCATCCGATTCACCATCACTGGATGCCTGAGAAATACATTTAAATTCGATATGGACACCAAAATTGCTTAACATTTTATCGTATTGTGTAGTGTATGCAAAAAGGGTTAAGTGGAGTGTATTTTATGGAATGCCGTTAAATATCTAGTTTTCGTTGTTAGTAACGATGATTTGCCTAATTTCTAAATTGCATTCTAGCTTCCCATTTTATTCTGTTTCTTCTTCCCAACTCACCTCCCGAGCTGGTGTTGGTGGTTTACGATTTACGGAGGTTCTTTCCTCTTCAGCAGGTCGTGCTGGGGCTCGGTCTGGTTCCTGAGAGGAGGCGGCCCCTTTATTTTGTCTCTTAAGTCGTGAAATTTCATCATCTTCACTCTGTTGCCTCTGTGCTGGTGGTGGAGGACGACGTGGCTGAGGTGTCGGCTGCACTGGCTTCGGGGGTGGAGGTGCTTCCTTTTTTTCTTTTTTTTTCCCACTGTCAACGTCTAATATCCTCTGCATGACCCGAGGACAGTCACTAAGTCTAAATATTCCACTAAGAGGACCTTTAGTTGCGTCTTCTGTATCTGTAACTTTCTCTTTTTCTTTTTGAACCTGTTCAGCTTTACTTGTTCGACTTGTTGGCTCCGTGTCTGAATCATTGTCTTGTTGATGACTCCTTACAAAACGTGAACGGAACCTACGTGAAGGCCTATGCTCGGATTCATAGCCACTGTAGTCATCAGTGGTACCGTAATCCCTTGTAGGTTTTTCTGGTGGAGGTGGTCGACGTTCACCGAACTTACGCCCACCAAGTATAGGCTCATCGTTCTCAGTATAACCTTTAGCTTCCTCTTGTTGGCGGAACTGAGTTGCCAAACGATGGTCACTCTTAGACCTTGTTAGACCCGGCGTTTGCTGCATGTTACCTCCATAAGTACTTGGATGAGTTATGTTTAATTCACCATAACTAGCAACATGTAAAACTAACTGATTTGGATCATGCGTCATGATGAATCTCATTCTACGATTGTAGTCGCCCGCTTCATAATCGAAGTTTCTAAGAAATTCCACCGTCTTCAGGAAAATCTCTTTGGTATCAACTAATTCCGTATCTTCCCATTCAACATCATCGGTCATATATTTATCGGCGAGATCACAATTACTTTGTATATTACTTAACTCTAACTCTAAATTATCCTTTAAGTGAGTGAGGTTTCTAAGTTCGGTGGCTAAATAACGGTCAACTTCATTCCTAAGGAAGTCGGTTCTATCTTTTAGCGCCTTTGAAAGTCTTTTGTGTATTTCATCTATTTCCCCTGCAACTGCAGCGCAGTTTGTTTGAAGATTTGTCGTGTTCCGTTCAACGATCCCTAAGATATCTTGTAGCCTATTGACCCCCCGACGTATTTGATTGTTAATTCTAGATATTTCGCGGTGAAGAACTTCCATGTGCGCTGACTTGCAATCTTCGCAGACTTTCTTGTCGCAGTGGGCACACGGAGCACAATAAGATTTTTCGGAACAAACGTTGCATCTTTCCATAACCTGCCCAGCAGTAGGATCTGGTAGTTCCCCTGCTATTTGAGCGTGCAATTCGAGGAAGCGCTGAAGAGTGACATTTGTGGGAAATCCCTGTACCCCTTGGTATGGGATTCTATGTTCTGCTCGGCATTCTGGACATTTGACCTGAAAATAATTATAAGTTTAGGTATTGTTGTGCTCGACAATAATATAAAAGAAGGTACATAAAACAGAAGTCATATTTTAATTTAAATATTTAAAACTCATATTTAATTAAATTCAAAATTTGACTTTAGTTTTATGAACCAATCACACCTTAAAAGAGTTTCATTATATTTTGTGTTGATTAGTTCATGAGTATATTGTAAAAGCTTGCGATATTTATATTTGAGGAACCCACGTTATTAAAATTTGTGTACATAGGTGTCGTCGACGTTAGATTTGCTTATGAAAAAAAAGTTTTTCTCTACCTGTCGCCTCACGTAATCGACCAAGCCGTCCATGCATGGCTCCATGCAGAAGCTGTGCTGACATGGTAGCAGCTTCGGGTTCCTGTACCGGTCGAGGCAGACGCAGCACGTCAACAGCGATTCAAACTGCTCCATTTTTCTTTGGCTGCTTTACGTATCTGTTGAAAAAGGGAAAAACATTGAATCATTCACTTGTGAATCAATTGTTAATGTTTTTTTGTCACCAAGAAAACTTTAAATTCCTGTATTCTAATATAGCAAAAGATGCAGGCTCAAATGGACAACATGGAATTTTTTCTATTAAAATATTTCATTAAATTTAAGCTGTTATATTGTTGGTGACGGGATAGACTCAATTTGAGATCTCAATCATTGATCTCTGTATTTTTTTTTATACTTAATGACATCAAAGTAGGTGAAAATTTAAATCTTATGTAAAAATACTCATAAAAAAACGTCTAAGCAACATGTTGTTTGGTGTCAAACTTTTGATCGATTTTTTCATTCTAATATATTTATTATTTATAATAAAGAAAATCTAAAAATTAATTTTTTTAAGATTAGATAATTATATTTTCAAGGCCAAAAAATATTGTAAAGATTATGATTATGATGTATCCCAGTCTACTTTGCTAAGAAAATTTTAAAAAACATTTTATTAATTGATGTTGATTGATGTAAACAGTACAGTTTTCTGTAAATAATGCGTGTTGCTTAACCTTTTTTGATGTGTGTATTACATTATCATGTGCAGAAATTACAAACATAACATGTTGTTTTTTTAAAGTAGGAATAATAAATTCGCCCCGATAGCGAGGTGTGCGGGTTCGAGTCTTGTCTACTGCGTGAAATTGTTTATAGAAAAGTTTTCTTGTGATTTACATCGAGCAGAAAAATGCTTAAAAAAATTGTTCTCAGAAATTCCGTGAATAATGTTTCTAAATATTCTCTCTTTTCTATTTACTTATCAGACGGCATACAAAAATATAATGGAATTACATGCTATTGGTGGGAACTAAGATTTTCTGACTAACCAGTAATTACTAAGTATAATTAATAACTGTCACGTAGTCATTCATTTATTATTCATTATAATTTTCATAGAATTTAAAATGTTTTCACAGTATCATTTTGTGGTCAGTTGAATGCGTAGTTCAGAGTGTATCCGCAGAGATCCGGCAGATTTTATAAATAGTGTCCCCGTGTCTGTCATTTCTCACGACTCTCACAAACTTCGCTTAAGCACTTGGTAGAAGACAACCGAGCGATTCCGTACTCTAAACGCTTACACATAAGGTCGATATTCTCATCCGAAGCTAAACAATGTTTTGGGAAATTCGGGTATTTTAAGATCAGACAGTTGCGTGATGGAATAGTAATTAGTTACTGTTAGGTGTCGATGAGTGTGTGTATTTTCTTTATTGAATCATCGTATTTCGCAACTTCTTAGAAATTTGGCTATTGCTTCTTTGTAATATTTTGTATTCAACAAAGAAAATTATATCTAGGATAGACATAACTAGGTGATGTCATGGACAGTGTCCAAATATATCTATGGACAACTCTTTGCTATTTTTGAATATGAGCTTTTAGTAGTGGAAAGTTTACGATCAGTTTGGGGAAACTGTTATTGAAAAAGATATGTTTTCTTCAACACTTAATCACACTAAAATGTCTAAATATTTCTCATGCAAATGCAAAAATAAAACTTTTATGAAATTGGATTCACTTAAAATTCTAAACATTTTTCTCTTTTAACATAAAAAAACAGTTTACCTAAAAAATTCAGGGGCTTTCCTTGGTAGAGTTTGAAGCTTACATTGAAAACTACTGTATTTTATATCACTTTGAAGAGTCTTGAATTTGTTGTCTAAAAGCTGAGTGAAAAAAACGACATCAATCCAGTCATATTAATTACCTAGTTAAGGAAGTGCTATCTTGGTTGGTAAATTGTTGTCTTGGCTTTTTAAGGACATAAACTACACCAAATTGAGTATTAGTTTGATATATGTTGGAAACAACTTGTTGTTATATCGGCCTAGTCTATTCACTGCAATATTTAAGAAAACTGTCTAAATTTATAAAAAAAAATCAACAGGTTTCCTTTTCCCTTACTATCTCCATCTTAGGAAATGAAATAAATAATAGTGATACAAATCTGAAAATCTTTTATCAAATTATTTAGCCTCTAATCAAGCGGGCCTGTTTATTAAGAAAGTTAAATAACATAGTAAAGTTAATAAGCAACAATGACACGGAAACAAATATTTGAATATTAAAGCCGATATTGGAATCAAAGCGTTTGAAGTAGAAATTAGGTATGCTTTCACGGTAGAAACTGTGCGCCCAGTCAAAATTTCGAGTTGATAAAGTAGTTTTACAACACATGAACTCTTGATAAAAATATTTACCTTCCGACACGCCCACGTGTATAGACGTCACGCTTATAAAAAACATTATGGCAGCACTTATAGTTTTACCTAATCAACATTGAATCATTCGGAACATCGTATTGCTTCAGACAAAGAGGCCTTTTTGCGCGTGCCCTTGCGAAAGTACGCCCTTGAGTCTTAGCAATTAGTGTTTCGCACAAAATAACGTACGATGTAAGCAAGCTTGGTGAGAAATGTTCTTTGTACAGAAGTGATGAAGTGAGAAATGGTGTCTTTGTTTAGAAGAAAATATAATGTGTAAATAACGAAATTCTTGGATGGATATCTTTTATTCAAAAGAGTTGTACTATATATCCAATTTTAATAAAGATATATTGATTTCTGATTGTTAACGTTTTGACAATACCTTGGTTGGAGGTAGAGGAATATATCTACACCATGATAAACGATGTGCAAAATACTCGCCTATTTGGAAGTTGGCAATATAAAATAATGTTGAAATATTTCGCAATATTACGATAAGCAAAACACTTTAATGCAATTTAACATTTTCTATTATCACAGCGCAGAAACCAATAGAATAGATGAAAATTTTAACAGTGAATGAAAAAGTTGAGACTTTAACGTATTACATAATCATTTTAATTTTGACTTTGCGACAGATTGGCTTTGATGCAAATGGATTCTTACGATAATAAAAGCAAAGAACTACAATTGGAATTTTCAAACACATTTCGCTGAGCAAAACGGCGATTTGGAATCGGAAAACAATGAGTCCGCTATAGAAGCGTGAATATATAATTAGCTCGGTATTTTCAGTCACCAGAAACAATTTGCCTCGTTACAATAGGCCAATGTGTTTTTGATTATTTAAGGAACCAACGCCGAAATGCGAATCTCGGTACGTTTTAAATAAATAAGTACAGCGCTTTGGGAATTCCATGAAATGTTTTACGTTGGCATTGTTTTGTGAGAGCGTTGAGATGATACTGAATCACTTGTCTTGAGGTACTGAAGTCGAATCAACGGGTATGAAAATCTTTGTTACGTCAAGAAAACATTTATCATAAATACTAATAAACCGTTAATGAAAAGAAAATGGTTTTCATATTCATCTCCTCCATTATCTTTTGTAGTATAAATTGTTATTACTAAGATTTTAAAAATGATTTATACTAAAATGTAATGAATAAAAATGCAAAATTTATTGAAATACAAATTTATTGGATTTCCAAATATAATAGCGGAAACAATTAAAACGATACTTTAAACTCAAATAGACACTCAATTTACACTTAAGCTTTACGTACATAACACTTGTCTTATGATCAAAAAAAATAATTAAATAAAAATCCATACTAGCCTGTCCTTATTTAAAAATTCTCAAATACAATTACTTGTCGTACCAATAATGCCGAAATAGTAACACCTTATAAGGAGCACAGCTTAACTATACTTTGCCTTTTACATTAAATTATGTTACACTAGTTTTAAATGTAAACTATTTAATTATATCTATTACTAAGAATTATTCACTTTTAACATAACATTTGTTTTCTATTTAATTTGGCGTACTTGTTTTAAAATAATACGTTAGTGCTTGATTCGATGTCAATATCACCCGGTGATATTTGTGAGATAGTCATTATTGAAAATAAATTCTTGAAACCCAAATAACTTAGTTTCAGAAAATCGTGACGAAATATAGAAGCACGTGGACAGAAAGTCAACAGATATGTGTATGTTATCTTTGATTATGATATTATCAAAGATCATTATCTTTACATAATCATATAATATCATTATATTATATGATTGAATTCTCTACTAGTTTTAAGAAGTGCTACATATTAAAACATTAGATGAAAGACATTACACGATTCTGCAATTTTTATAATATCCGATATGAAATTATGTTTTTACTTTTAAACTCGATGAATTTTCTTACATTATTTTGTTGTATTATTTTTTCTTATTGTGTTCTTTTTAGAAAATAGGAATAGTTCTAATTTGAAATGATAAATTAAGTTTATGATTCAAGCGACCTTTAACAAATACATTGAAATGTTTAGATTCAGATTAGGTTCATTACAAATTATAGGTACACTTTGCATATAGAATTAGTCCAAACCAAATGACGCAGCAAAGATTTCATTTCAGCAACGATAATGTTTTGCTCAAAGGCCGCGCCGAGATTATTTTAGCCAATGATTTAATCTTCAAAGCCCGTATCACAGACAAAGATCCACAAAATATTTCTGGAAAATGTGAAATGAATAGTCACTTGAAAACTGTTTAGTTGAATGAAGATTAAATAGGATTATTTCCTGAAGTTCTGATTTATTATCAGAACAATTCTAAACAGTTAAGTATGATTCAACCTTCTAAATGAAAGATAATAACAAATATATGGTAAGACAGTAATCTGACATTAAACAGGTGGGAAATAGCGGGTTCAAATTAAAGCATGGACTAAAATAATGATGTCGAAAGTGTGAAGCTTGCGGAAATAGACAAGTGCCAAGATAAAGAAGTGCAACCAAGTATATATTACATAGACTTAAATGTACCCAACAATATTATACAAACTATTATAAAATCTTTGAATGTTAGTGAAATACTGAGAAAATACTTATAATATTAGAAACATACCAAAAGAGAGCGAGAAAGAAAGAGAAAGATTTAGTTTTTGAGGAAGATAATAAATATTAGACAATGATAGTGGGATAAACAAAACATAAGTAGAGGTACTTATAATGAAAAAG